GCGCTGGGCGCCCACACAAAACTGAGAGATATTCAAGGCGAGGACACAGTTCAGATACAAACTCGCTTTAATTTAACTATGGCGCCTGAGCGCTTATACATCCCTCTTCACCTCAACTGTTCACACACACTTCACACTGGATCTCCCTGGATATCCCACGCACGCACACTCAGTACCGAACACACACACACATACTGAACTTTGCTCTAGCTACAGCGGCTATGGCCGCCTAACCTCTACTGGCTATGGATACTCTATCTCCCTTCAGCCCACTTCGACCTCGGGCATCTGCAGACCACCTCGCACAAGAMGCTATGGCAGCGCTTCCGCATGGCTCACGCAGGAATGAGTGAATGGCTGGACGCTGCCTATTGATTTATACTTCTGTAAGTCGCTGATCTGCCCCTTTCCAACGGGCCCATGGTGCACACAGTCCCTCATGGTACTTGCTGACTGTACAAAGTGAGACTGGGACTGGGTACCGCTGACTAATCGAAGTTGGACTCACCACTTGCCCACTTGCCTCTGGTCTTCTGTGAATAACGCGAGAAAATTTTGAAAGGCCACTTCCGGACCTTCCGGAAGTCTGTGGGCTTGGCCTTTCGGGACTGTAGCAGCTACGACCTTGACCTTTTAGGACTGCAGCAGCTATGACCTTGACCTTTCAGAATTGCTACAGCTACGGCCTCTACACAACTATGACCCCTAGTCGACAGATCTATAGATCGAACCCCTACAGCTACACAGACCTTCGACAAGCAACAGTCAACTACCAAAACACAGGTCACGGGTTCAAACACACAGGGGTCGACTCAATACTGTACATGGGTGTGGTAAGTTCTAGGGATCGAGCCCTGGGATCTGCATCTGCTACTGCTAAGGTGAAAACCGTTTCACTCCCGCCGGCCTAAATTCGAGGTCCTCCGAGAATACTTCAGCCCAAGGTAGGACCTTTACCTTTCTTATCTCTTTCGTAGGCTTAGACTATATCGGGAGCGGTCTCTAGAAGCTCTGTTCGGTTAAACCAGCGGTCGTCTTCCAGCTCTTGTTTGTGGACGACCTTTACCTCCTGTTCTGAACACATCTTCACCTACAATGCTGTCAAAATCGTACCTTCCATCCATATCCAGAGGGATCATGGATCTCCGTGATGGAAACTGTTCGCTTATGGTACAGGGCAACAACTTTGACGCATGAAAAACTGGGTAGGTGTGGAGGTGTGCTGGAATCTCTATGGTGTAGGACGGTCCATCTTCCCCGCCCCTAACTTCTAGGACTGGCCACGATCCTCTATATGCAGGCAATAGCTTCTGCGAGATGTTCTCCTCAGGAGCAAACTCTTTTGACTTAACCTAGACTACGTCGCCTACTTGGAAGTGTGATGGGCGACGATGCTTATTGGCTTGCTCTATCATTTTATGCTGGGCCTTCTTGAGGTTCTCTACTACGGTAGCAATCTCTTTTTCATGCTGTATCGTGAACTCCCTAGTTCCGGGCGGTAGCCTCTGAATCTGATCCCGGTTAAGTCCCTCAAATGGTCTACGCAGTCTGAAGGACTTATGCAATTCGTTGGGAGTGAGACAAGTGGCTAAGTGCACGCGGTTATTATAGGCACTGGCTACCTTTGGGAGCATCTCATCCCAGTTAACTTGGTCGGGTCTAATGTACATTCTCAGAACCTGTTGCAGGACTTTGTTCATTTGCTCACTCTGACCGTTGGTCAACGAGTGACGGCCAGATGACATCAACAACTTAGAGCCATACACTCTCATTAGTTCCTGCCAGTTCTGACTAGTGAATCGAGTATCTCTGGTACTAACTATAGACAGGGGTAATCCATGTTCACTAACCCAATGATCAAAGAACTTCTGTATAACTAAATATGTGCGTGCCTCTGAGAGCAAAGGAACAAAACCTGCATATTTGCTAATCTATAGACTATGACCATGACTTGGCTCTTGCCATGCCTACTCCTGACCCCAACATCCATGAAGTCAATGGATACAGAGTCTTCGGGCCCATCGGGAATAGGCAAGGGTTTGAGAAGATCAAGAGGGGCTCGCGTAGTGGTCTTATTTCGCTGGCACACCTTACAACTGCGTACATACTCTAGGCAGTCAGCCTTCATGCCAGACCAAGTATACGCGCGCACGAGGTTGGCTAATGTCTTTTGCCACCCAAAATGTCCCTCTGTATGATGGCATTCCCCCAAGATCAGACTTGGATCTCTTCACTGTTGGGAACGCACAATCGATCTACTACATTAGTCTTCTCGAACAACAGCCCTTATGTAGAGCGGTAGTTTGGCTCAGACTTTGAAGACTCCTTAACTTTCTTGAGGAGATTCACTATAAATAGGGTCATGTGCATAGGCTTCCTTAACTTTCTGCTGCAGGTCTTGCCCTATATCCAAATAGTGAACTATCGCTCCAAAGTAATCAGCTCTCCTACTTAGAGCGTCCGCAACTACATTATACTTCCCTTTGACTAGCTTGAGCTCGAAATCAAATTGGTCTATTTCTGCGGTCCACCTAGTCAGCTTAGGTGTCATTTTGGCCTGTGTCTTCAACCACCTCAACGTCTCGTGGTCTGAATACACTCTGAAGTGCCTCCCAAGCAAGTAGTGCTTCCAATCGGGTCTATACCCATTGCCATCATCTTGCTGTAGAACACCACGTATACCGTATTGACTTGTGTCAGTGGTGACAACAAAAGGTAATGATGGGTCGGCTACCTTGAGGACTGGATACTTTATCAAGGCCCACTTCAACTTCTTCAGGGCTGACGTACAATCTTTATCCCATTTCCAGATCGCTTATTTTTTTAGCAACCTACGAAGGGGAGCAGCGATGGTAGAAAAATTCCTCACAAACTTTCTATAGTAATTGGCCGATCCTAAGAACGACTGGAACTCTGTCAATGTGCGGGAAGTCGGCCAGTCTCCAATCGCTGCTATTTTATTGTCCTCAGGTATTATGCCATCACCATCTAGCACGTGGCCCAAGCACAGGACTTGCGTCTTGGCCCACTCGCACTTCTTCGCATTGATCTTCAAGTTAGCTTCTCCCATCTTCTCCAAGACTTGCCTCAGATGCCCCTCGTGCTCCTGGAGGGTCTTACTAAAGACTAGGATGTCATCTAAGTACACTACCACGAATCTATCTAACCATGGCCTAAACAAATCATTCATGCAGCGCTGGAATGTAGGTGGCACATTGGTTAGTCCAAAGGGTATCACTATAAACTCATAGTGCCCATATATGGTCCTGAACGGCGTCTTGTGCTGATCATAAGGATGGACCTCTATCTGATGACAGCCTGACTTCAAGTCTATCTTAGAGAAATATTTGCAGCCCTGCACCCGATCTAACAAATCATCTATATGGCGCAGTGGTTCTGCATTCTTTACTGTGATGGCGTTAAGACCCCTATAGTCAATACACATTCTTAACTCTCCCTCCTTTTTGGGGATAAATAGAATAGGCGCTCCAAAAGGAGACGAACTGGGCCTAATCCAACCCTTTTCGAGGAGCTCGTCTAACTGCTTGCGCACCTCCTCTAACTCCTTTGGGGGCATTCGATACACTGCTCCTTTGGGAGTTCTACTGCCAGGCTCTATCTCGATGCGATGCTGGATCGGCCACTGCACTACTCCTGTCAGCGGCTTAGCCAAATCTGTATATTCTCTTAGCAGCTTGGCAATAATTGGGTCAATAGGTTTCTCTTCCTTAGGTTGAGTGACAGGCCTAGATGTGAAAAAAGAAAAGAGACTGGACTGCTATGGCCCAGTACAACAAAGCGAAATGATGGTGCGTTGTGAAACAATTTCTCTCCCAAGAACGTTTCCTCTTGTTAGTGTGTGATATTGCTATGGATTGCTTTTTTTGCATCTTTTGCGGTGAAAGTACCTATGGTACCAGTTCATATTTGGTTACCTGAAGCTCATGTAGAAGCACCCACCGCTGGATCTGTTATCTTAGYGGGAATTCTCTTAAAATTGGGAACTTATGGTTTCTTAAGATTTTTGCGCTGCCCTGCTGGAAAACAATGAACGCGAAAAAGATTATGTTATTTTGAACAAGTCGTTTGAGAATCTCATTACATCTCACAAAGAGAAACGCAGGGGCAAAAGTCAACTATTTCGAAAGAATGCTGTGTGGTGTGACTTGTCTCTACCAAGTTATGCGGGTGGCGATGGTGGATGGTGGTGCAAATGGTGGTGCAGACAATTGGGGACCTGCATTGTACATTGCTGCCACTTCAAGGGGGTGAGGGGGGTGGCTGTTTTCTACAGACGTCGAAACTCAGAAGCCGATGATATTCCAACATGTCGGGGTAGAGAGTGGACGCTGCTCTGTTGGCAGGCACAGGTTGTGGAAAGAAGAGGTCCAGTTATGGAGAAGCGAGGTTTAATCGAATGCAACAGCATTGATTGGCCCGTGGCAGTCGATTGACCTGTAATGATCTCCAAACTCTGGGCCGGGGGGTAACATATGCTGAGCCACCCAAGTTGTTGGGGTCGGTCTGGGGCAGCAGCCGCCACTTGTCCTCTGTTCGTGCTAAGAAAGAACGGACATGGCCGTTTTCGTGACCAGGTCCATGCTTTCTAAGGATATAAATAGAGTGCCAGTGAGGTCGCGCCGTTTATATTGACGGAAGCATCACCTAACATGGTCGTTTTTACGACCGGGTTCAGGCTTTCTAAGCCTATAAATAGAGCACCAGTGGGGCCCCACCATTCATCTATGGAGGCAATCGTTATCCTTCCACCGAGCACATGGTAGACTACACATCAGGCTGCAGTGGCTGGTATTGGTAGCGGATGCAGAGCCCTATAGTGTGAATCATCAGGAAGCTGCTGTTACATTTTACGCGTTCTATGTTAATCGATTATTTATAGTATTTTTATACCCCTTTTAACTCTCTCCTCTTGTTGACTACGCTTCTTTTTTTTCCAGGAATAGAACTGTGTACCAGCTGCTGATCCAGGACTGTTTGGTGAGCGCAAGGGTTCCTCCGACTGAGAGGATCAGTGTGGTGGTGGTTTCCTCCGTCGGATGGCATCGGTGCCTCCGCTGCTGGGCGATATCTGGACTGATATTGAAGGAAGAGTGACTTCTTGGAATGGAGCTGCTATGGAGCGAAAATCGGACATGGCTGGCAAGGAATTGGTTGGGACATCTGCAGTTGTTGGATCGGCGCAGTCCTTTGCAGTCGGCGCGGGACTGACGAAAGCAGGCGCTGAGGAGAGAGTCGGCGCAAGCAAGCGGCCTTCTACGTCCACCGGAGGCACAGGCGAAACTGATTGGCTGAAAAGCACAGGATGGGAAGGGGGGAAGCTTCACCGATCAGACAACGAGAGAAACGAGTTTTGTTGCCGAAAAGAGCCATCTGACGTACCAGATACTCCGCCGGACAGTGAGGAATGTCCGATTACCCAGTTCACGGGAAATGGGGCAGGGAGCTCAAAACAGGTTGCCATGCGTGCAGTGGAAGGGTTTCAGGGTTGGCGATTGGGGAGCCGCACGCCCGGAAATCTGTCGAGCTGCATTGCCGCTGTCATGAAGCCTAAACGAGGATCGCTACCTGAACTTGCACGCACAATACGACAAAGCGGATGTGCGGCCATCGGTGAGCACCATGCTCCTCAGTTGTGGCAAACGATCCTTTGCTGTCTCAGGCCTGGTAGCACCCGAAAACAAAGCTGCAGAGGCCTTCGGACAGGAAATACATCTGAATCAGACCCCTTTAGCCGAGAAGAGCAGATTGTGCCTGCAGTGGCCGCTCCCCTCCACCCCCCCTATGTCCCCAGATTGTCGAGGGATTCGAAAATCTGTCACGATCAGCCACTAAGAAACATCACAACAGGGATGCCGATGTCGATCCCAAGCAGTCCGTCGCAGGGGCTCATGCCGCCCATGCGCCCGGAGGACGTTGGCAAGAAGACGCTGGTCCTGGATCTAGATGAGACCTTGGTTCATTCCTCATTCAAGCCAATACCCAATGCAGATTACATTATTCCCGTCGAGATCAACAAGAGGATGACAGATGTGTATGTGCTGAAGCGGCCATGGGTCGATCACTTCATGAAGAAGATGGGCCAGAGGTTTGAGGTAAGTAAGCCCCGAGTCCCGAGCATTGAGCATTGGCCCCTTGTCTCTTTCGAGAAATGCCAATACCTTTCAAGACTGCCCTGGCTACAAAAGGAGGCCAGCCCTTTTTCAGTTGGTCTGTTTGATTGATGATCCAACGGCCCCCGTCCCCCCCATCCCACCCTCTTCCCTTGTCTACAGGGGTTGGCCCAATTTTTCATGAGGCACTGCTGGCTTAACCAGAACAGCAATCATTGGTTTGCTCTTCCCCATTGTTGGGGTATTTCGTTTTACGGACCTACTTTATGGTTCCGTTTTTTCAAGTGTGGTTATGGTAGAATTGTTGGTATTTTTGGTACTCTTTGTCTGCATACCGGTTGGTTTTGTCTCGTTGTTCGGTCCACATGGCGGTGTTTTCATGTGGGTTGTTCGGTCTACGTGGCGGTGGTTTCATGTGGGACTTGTCATCCGGTTTTTTTCTTTTGGCGTCCTAGTTGGCTGGTTCCTGTTGTTTGGCCTATTGATGGGAAGCGGTGCTTTTAGGTGGGAATCGCCATCTGGGATTGTCTTTATATAGTTTCTTTTGCAGGCAAGGGTGTTGATTGATATCCCGGTTGGTCATTGTCCCGTCGTTTGGCCTGTGATGTAGGGGGCGGTGCTTGCATGTGGGACTTGTCATCTAGGATCTGTTATGTTTGTTTTTTGACAACCTTGTCTTCATCCAGGCTGGTTTTGTCCCGTTGTTCGGTCTATTTTGGCGAGCGTAGCAGTGCTTTCGTGTGGAACCAATCACCCGGGTTTTTTCGTTGTTCGGCCTATGAGAGCATGAATGGTTTACGAATAGGAATGCCAACTTCTTGATGATGAACAAGGCCATTTGCTGTATATAGATATGTATTTGGGATTTCTTTTTTTGCAGGCAAGAGTGTTTTTTTTTATATCCTGGTTGGTCTTGTCCCGTCGTCTGGCCTGTGAAGTTCGGGGCGGTGCTTATATGTGGGCCTTGTCATCCAGGATCTTGCTGCCCCCTGTTTTGTTATATTTGGCTTTTCCCTTCCTCTTTTCTTTGCCTCTTTGCCTTTTGGCTGTGTGCAAGTGGGTCGATATTACACACGGGGTTGGGAGCAGCCGCCGCTCAACCACATCCACGCGGGCGACCTTGTACGCAACAGGTTCTGAACAGGGCGAGTTGTAAGTAAGATGATAAAAAATGAATTGATATCTTTTTTGTTCCCTTCGTTTTTTTTTCGCTTTTGCGCTCTGATAACACTGTGACGATATATATATGTTGGAAAACCAGTTCGCCCGAAGCTAAGTCGGGCGCTTACCGTTTTACGTGGCAAGGCCATGATGCTTCGGGCCTGGGCCGGTAGTGAACACGGAAGACCACTATGAAAAGAAGAAAAAAAAAAAAAAAACAGTTGGAGGCTCGCGAGCCTTGGAAGGTAGCCTTGTCAACTTAAGCTGGTGTGAACTGGTGCTTTAAAACTGAAATGATACACAACAGTTGAGCTGTTTTGTAAATCACTCATGGGTCTTGGCGTCTTACAAACTCACACAGCATGAATCACTCATGACTCAGGAGTCTTGGCCCTTGGGGTCTCACAGCATCTCAGCAACTTTTAAAAAGCCGACACAGATCTTGATGCCGTCGCAGAGAATGTGGCTGGATCAGCATCACCATTGTGAGTCTGTGACTGTTGAAATCCGGGCACCGAGTCTGGAAACCCACGGACGTCTCAGCTTAAAGTAATGGCTGGCGTGGTTGTAGAGCGACGACAATGGCTTGCACCAGGGGTCTTGAAGCTGTCGATGGGTATTTATAACTATTAGTCTATTTAAACTATTTTGGCATTACCACCCACGAGTAGGAGTGTTGCGAGCAACGGATAGTACTGGTCGCTGGTGTCTCATAATACCTTTATAAATTATAAATTTATAATAACTTTAAGAAGTTTTTTAATAATTTATATTTTTCCTTGCCGCAAGTTACTGGTGGGAAAGAAAAACCAGAGATTGAGGACTCCTCCAAGAATGGAAGACTAGCCTCTCACGCAGGTTTCTCCTCTTCTTTTTTTTCGCTTCCTGATGCTTTCTGAACCTGGTCCTTTTTTTTTTTCTTTTTTTTTTTCTATTTGGAAAGGAGGAGAAAAGTTCCAACGAACATGTACTTTTGCAGCTGTTATGATAGTCTGACAACAACTTTGGATGCTTTTGTTACTCAGAAGGGGGGTCTTATGAGAGGTGGTGGTCTGCTGGGCACTTTTCTGCCTCAGCCTTGCATGCCTGCTTTGGGAGAGGTGGTGGTCTGCTGGTCGCTTTTCTGCCTCAGCCTTGCATGCCTGCGTTGGCCGCCCTGGCTCACACCGGTGCCTGTGTTGCAACCAACCCCCTCTCCTATACCCCATGCCATGGGGCGGTGGTGGATATTGGATGTGGGGAGGATGGACTGTGTGCAGAATATCCTTGAATAGCGAGTGTGAACAGGGAATGATCTTTCAAGACGGCCACGCATAAGTCGCAAGCATGCGTACGTGGACTCAGGCTTGCAGATCAGATACTGATACTGGCCCTGCTGAAGTGTGTGTGCATTTGACAGGGCTTCCAGGTGCACTGGTAATGCCACTGGTTATGGGACGTCGCGGTGTGTGCATGTCAACTTACAAGAATTGAACTCGCAACCTACCGCTTGCCAGGCAGATAGCTAACCAACAAAGGCTAAGCGGCGGTGGCGGTGGCTTCGTGAGCATAGCTTGCCACCCGTTATTGCATTCGGTGGCTGCGGGCTTTTACGCATAGTGCATGGATCTTTTTCCTCACTGCGCTGATGATGTTCATCCTTGCTGCCTGGTAAGGTGGTGATGCCTAATGGGTTGGGACTCGACAGAGGGAGTTTCCATCTGTCCATCGTTACAACAGCTTCCTATACTTGTGTTGGCACTGGGCCCTCGAATGGAACGTCTCCTTTTTTTCTTTCTCTTTTTCTTTTTTTTTGTAAGATTGGTCACCTTAGCTGTATGTGCTGACTACTGAAGTATCTGCGCGTCCCGACACATGTGGAGGGAAAGACTCTCTCTCTCTCTCTCTCTCTCTCTCTCTCTCTCTCTCTCTCTCTCTCTCTCTCTCTCTCTCTCTCTCTCTC